GCCGCCGAGGAAGTTGGTGTGAGAGAGAAGTTGGATCAGTTGTTGTCATTGGTCTCTGGTCTGGCTTCTGGTGCGAATACCCCCTACTTTTCTGTTAGTGAACCAGTCTCCCCGCACCCTGGTGACCTTTCCCACACACCCCTCACACCCCCTACACCTACCCCCTCGGTTACCCCATCGTTTTACGGTGGAGTGCCGTCGCGCTTCCAGTCCCCTACTCCTGGGCCTGGAAACACTTCCCCGTTCGCACCTCTACGCTTCCCCAATCCCCCTGACTTTGATGGGAAGCGGGAGCATGCTCGGCACTTCTGGAATCTCGTCTGCACCAACCCTAGTCATTTCCCCGATGACCAGATGAGGATCCGATGGGCGCTTGGCTTCTTCAAGTCTGGGCGAGCTGCGGACTTCATGACAAACCTCTACGAAGTCGAGCGCGAGACTGGCAGCCCCTACTTCGAGGACTGGGCTGGTTTTGAGGCTGAGTTCGCACGCGAGTTCATTTCCCCCTATGAACGTGCGGACGCGGCCTTAACCTTGGTAGGCACCGACTACTACCAGGGCTCGTCTTCAATCGAGGAGTATATCGACTTGTTCCGTTGGTTGCTCCGCCTTGCCCAGTTACGCTCTTCGGATCCAGGACTTGCATCCCTGAACGTCCTGAACTTCCGCCGCGGTCTTCACCCGGACATCGAGACCCCGTTAGCCACCTCATTGGGCCGCCCTTCTGACTCAGACCTTGAAGGGTGGATCTGTGCAGCAAAGCGCCACGCTCGAAGCATTCGTGAGAGCGAGGTTTTCAGCTCAACGGTTGTGGATCAGACCCCTCCTGAGCCTGCCCCGATTGTGGAACCACTGCCAGCACCTGCAGTCATTGTAACCCCTCGGCCAGCTCTTCCATCCACCAACCGCTTCGCCCCACTCCCTGTCGAAGAGGCCTCCGATCCCCTAAAGCCCCCTTCGGCAGAAGTCACTTCTGAGGTAGTCGCTTCCACGCTTGCACCTCCACCCCCGGTTGTTCAAGAGAAGCTCATTCCGTACCACCTGCTGCCACGTTGGGAGCATAAGCTTCCGCGCAAGTACACTGTCTCTGCCATCCCCGGACCACGTTCTACCAGCATCAAGGTGGAGCTAGAGTCTACGCAGACGGCGAAGGTTGTTTCGACCGACGCTCTGATTGACAGCGGTGCAACTAGCGCTGGGTACATCAGTCTGGCCTACGTTCACGAACAGGGTCTGCCCACTCGCAAGCTGCTCCGGCCAATACCCGTGTTCAACATGGACAGCACCCCGAACGAGGCTGGTTCAATCGAGGAGATCGTCGACACAGTCCTCCGCTACCGCGACCATACGGAGCGC